GTTAACTGAAATCCACCCAAAGGCATTGCATGCTATTTTTGTCTTGCTGTTTCCAGAGACTGTTTTGTACACAGAACAAAATAATAATCTTTAATGACTGCTTCATGAGGCATATCCCAGCAGAGTATTTGCTCAAATAAAGGCTGGACTTGGGGATAAATAGCTTGATAACATCCTCCCATTTGCAGCCAAACTGCTGAACAGTGTTCCCCAAAATAATTCTGTTGATCCTAAGTGGCTAGTAGGAGAGTTAAAGTGTCGTCTTCTGGAAGATGATCAACCTACTTAGGGCTTTCTAGTCTGTGAAAACCAGCAACGGGGGTGGGGATGTGGCTTCAGTCCAAAGAAAACTGCATATCTGTGTGACTAAACAGTGTAACTTAACATGGGAATATGCAATTAGGGCTTCCATGACGGTATCTAGTGTGTTCAAGAAAGCAATAGGAGAGAAGGTGCACAGCACCATTTGCACAGGTGTGATGCTCTGGAGTTGCTGTGTATGTGCTACAGAAGTGGTCACCACCAGCACAGTAGATCTCCTACATTATGATAAACCAGGCATATTGCACAAACCAAATCAAATGTTCAGTTACTTCAGCTGCAGATTAGCTGTAGTGTTGGTCCAAGGACAGTTGTAGGTTGGCAGTGGAGTTGATCTGCATGTATGCTGTGGACATTTTTATGGGAACATACAGCAGCCTGGTCAGAGACACTTCTAGGCATCCGGAAACCCTTGATAAATGTGCATGGGAAGCAGTGACAACAGAGTGGCTTAAGCCAGCTAAGGCCCCTGCCTGTCCTAGTCACAGCAAGGACCAAAGGCAAAGGTATCATTCACATGATAGATTTACATTTCTAAAGAAGATTGTAGCTAGATATTCTTGTTTTTTTTTATTAAATGATTTTTATTTATTTTTGGAGAAATTTTAGATATGTCTAATAAGTATTTCACTGCCTACAACCATTCAACCTGTTTTATAAGCTGGATTTTAACATGAGCATGCATTTCTGGAACCTTGTATGTTAATGATGAGTTGTTAATAGTACTGTCAAAAAACATTAACTACCATTAAAAAAAGTCTCTTTTCTGAATTTGATAGAAGCTGTGGGGTCAGCAGTAGTTGTGCAACGTATGGTGGTTTAACTTGCTCTGTGGCCCAGAGGGTCTAGGTAGTCAAGGATCTTATCTTCTATCAATTTTAACATTTAATGGACCCACTTAACAAATATAACCATGTATAATGTATACTTTGAGAAGATAGAATCAGGGATTACCAGGAAAGTACCAAAGAAAATGGAGTATTGTGTGTTATCTCATAGCCTCATGATACTGGCTTTTCCTGCTATTTGTCTCCTGTTTTATCAACATAAACACTTTATACATTGTATGTCTATCAAAGCTGGATGAGCAAGCCTGAATCCAATACAAACAGAGCCTTAGAGCCAAGTGGCAAGCAATGTCTGTGGGATTTGGCTGCAGTAGACGTTTGGTTGTGGGTGGGAAAGCAGTCTAACTGGGGTACAAATAATTAAATGAGAAAACAGGTGTATATATTTATTTGTAAAAAACCCAAAAAGCCATTCTCCCCAAATGTCAAAACCCATATGCAAGTCCTTGCCTTTCTTCCTCCCTTTACCTCCTCTAAAATTTAAGCAAAACAAAGTTCATCTGAAAAGCATTTATTAAGCATCATATCATGGCTATTTGCTTTGTGGGCAGATACCGGCATGCAATGGCCCTCAGGGGCAAAGTGCTGTCTCTTGGCCAAAGCTGAGGAACTCTGGGCAAGTGAATTGGAAAGACTGTCACTGTAGAAAAACCTTGCTTCTTCTGAGGAAGGCGAAAGTCTTATGATAAGAAAGGGCTAATGTGATGAAAGTGATCTGCTGTAACTGGGACCTCCTCATCAGATGGAGTTCATGAATCCTTTTGGACTCAACAGGTGTCTTCACTATGGGATGCACCTGATGAGAAAAAGCAGGCTGGAGTGATGGACAAGTATGTTATGAGGCATGCAGATAGGAAATTTCCCAAGGAGGAACAAACAGAATGAACAGTATACCATTTCTCAAGCACATTGTTTTTCTCAAATAAATTACTCCCAGATCACAGAAGCTTATCCAGAAAGTTGTCACAGAAAAGCTAACTAATTTTTTCAAGTCTTCACCTTAGGATATTTGGAAGGTTGTCACAACAAAGCTTTAATTATGGGGAACATAGAGGAGTTGATAAAACCTGAAATATCAGTACATTAAATTTTACAGTAAATTATTAAAAGTAATAGCAGCAAGTTGTTAGGACCACTCTTTACTGCACAGTTTCAAAGGAACTGAAGTATGAAATTGCTTAACTACTGTGGTATAGAGCATAACATAAGAACAGCTATATAGGATCAGACACATACTGGTAGTCACCATGGCAAATACTTTGGAAAGAGTTTAAAAATAGGACAAGCATGCAATAATGCTTCCTCACCACTTTCCCCCAGTCTTCAAGAACTTCAGATGACTTCCTAGAAAGAGGTGAGATCTTTGTGTGTAGTAGTTGTCAGTGTTTTGTAGATTTTTTTTTCCTCCACAAATGTATCTGTTTACATTTTGAAACCATGTGAGCTTTTGCCAAGCTTAAGTAAATGTGGTAAGAAAGGCCTCCTTTTGTTGTGAAAGTGCCACCTTTTCATTCCTTTCATAGCCCATACTTCTTGTGTTAGAAGAAAGAGTGGAAAAACTGCTTCCTACTCATTTTCTCTGTCATCCATAATTTACAGATCTTATTTTGTTCTCCCAGTCATCTCTTTTTCAGCCTGAGGAACCTCCTTAATGGTTCCTCATAGAGAGGCTGTTCCAAGCCCACCATCCTTGCTGTACCACTCTGAGCTTCTTCAGGTTTTCAGATGGGATGGTCAGAGTATACAATATTTGAGGTGTCAGTGTATGAGGGGCTTGCGCATGGTATGAGGTATAATCCTTATTTTTATGATCCTCATTTACTGCGTAATTATGCAATTATGTGCATCTTCTTACACACAGGACAGTCTGTTATCAGTGGCTTCTCTGCAATGAGATGCATCTCTTGTGAAACTTTGCAGTGTTAAGTGGTGAAATATATAAATTAGAGGGTTCTTCACCAAAATGGAGTTTAAGGCTACTAGTTTTAGAAAGAAAAATCTGAAACTAGGTTTTAAAGACCATACTTAAGCCCCACAGAGGAGAGTGTTGTATATGACCCTAAGTCCATAGCTACAGAACTGTATTTTGTGGCTTCTAAACACCCAGAAAGAGGACTTCTATCCAATTTTGTGCCAACTTGTCGGTTACTGTTACTTACTTTCAAGATTTGACTGTTCTGTGTTTTGTATCTTGGCTGTTTTGTTTTATCCCTTTTCCTTGCCATGAGGGGACAGAACTGGTTATGAAGCTCTTACCTCTAAAAAAAGTGCTTGTATTTAAAAATGAAAACACCCGACATCCTTCATGAAAATCACAAGGAGCTCCTTTTGCTCCTACTTATCACATACCTTAATGTGCTATAGGAATCCTTAGGATTTAGAAACCTGTTAACTTATGATCTCTGCCAAAAAAATCATCAGCACCCTCTCAAATCCGTTTGTCCAAGCATATCATATAGCTATCTGGTGTGTTATTTCCAATAATTTCTGCTCAGTTAGGTACACAATAACAATGGTATTACATGTTTTCAATCAAGTATTTTTATTCATAGAATACATCTCAAATTTATTTTAGCAGTTTAAATAAGTGAGTTTAATATATATTTAGTCAAGCATTACAGTAGTGAGGGCTTAAGTAGATTAGAAATAAACGAATCCAATTAAAGAACACGTCTGTGAAATTTGATATGTCGTAGGCATGAATGAACTGTTTGCACAGCAACTGTAAAGAAATCATTAATGATTAACTATCTAGAAAAGGTTTAATCAAGGATAAATGGTATAGGACATAGTTAAAATCATTTGTGTTGAATACATGGGGATTCTGAAATAATAAAAACAACCTTTGCATCAGTAGTGTCATGAGTACTGGTCTCGGGAAATGTATCTTTTGTTATCTGTGGTAAATGTGCAGCCAGGGGCTGCAGCTGAAAGTTAGCTTAGTAACATTAGCTATCACGCATTTAGAGCGGGAGACGGTTCCTTCCATCAAAAAGCTTAAGTTTAATAGGCGAGACGGGCAAAGATATTCCACAAAAGAAGTGTTTCCTACAAGAACATGTTGTTATTGTCCCTTTCAGAGCTAATATTCAGCAAAGTTAAGGTAGGGTTCTCAGAAGTGACCACTGCTGGGTAAATTTGACCCTTCCAAAACTAAAAGCCCCATTGGGCACCTTGAGGGTAAGCTCAGGCAAGTGCCAAGTACTTTCTAAAATCCCGTGATATGTGATTTGTCCAGTGTGGCACCAGTAGTCTGTGGGAGGGTTGAGAGTTGAATCCCGATCACTTGGCTACTAGATTGGTGTCTTAAAGGTGCCAGTGGTATTCAAGGCATATTTTTTAACACACAAAAATATTAAGAAGTCTGAGATGGGAAAATTTACCCTGCGTAACTGCAGGCTGTTGCACTGTTGTCAGTCTGGCTTTCTGCAAGATGGAAACTGTCTTACAGGGATATGTGAGAACTTGTGTTTATGTGGCATTAATTCCTAAATGGAATGCTGCGTACATGCACTTGCCGATGCACTGAGGTGACGTTGGTTTTTATGGAGTGGTTGAAAGGGAGTAGTTGGAAGAAAAAAAAAATTAGACTTTTAAAAGTCTCATTTAAAAGACCTTTGGTTTATTCAGAAATATTATTTTGAGTGTGCAGGTGAACTTAAAGCAGTGGCAAACCCCAAATAATTATGAAGAAGTCACAACAATAATTTAATAAAGGCTGATAGTATGGACGTGCGTCATGGCGTTCTGCAAGGTTTAATATGCCTTCAGATGAAGTATTCCTAACTATTTGGTGGCCATCCAAAAAAAAAAAAAAGCATTGCAGGCTATGTCCCTCTAATCCAAATTTCTCGTTATCAGGCAGATCCTAACATATATAAACATTTATAAAACTCCTGTCAAATATATTTCTCCATTTAACTTGGCAAACACTGAATAGACATCGAACATGACTTTTAGGCAGTTGTGCTTCCAGGCACCTCACATTTCAAAGAAAGCACTCCCTGTATAAATACATGTTACAGAATTATACCCAGGTCATCATATTTTATTTATTTAAAGCATTTTTTTTTTCAGTGCTATCTGTAACTAAAAATGGTAATTATATTTATAAATAATTAGCCTAGGGTATCTTAGGCATTTTATTCACAAACAATAATATATCCCTGGTGCATATTTTCATCTAGCAAATCTAGTAAATAAAGGCAAAGACAGGGTGCAAAGGGCTCCTTTTGGAGCCAGAGATGGCTAGACATGTGGTTGGGAATGACAAACTGTACCTTCAGACTGCTGAAAACTCTGCCACACCATGATTATCTAGAGGCCAGGATGTTTTATTTAACTCCGACTGACAGTTAAATGACTGCATTCTGAGATGAGAAACCAAGCAGGGAATATATAAAATTTCTCTGACGGTAGTTGTCTAGAGGATATCCTCAGACATTTGTGTTAAATGATCCGTATA